CTAAATTCTTTATGAAAATTTTTGTTGTTAAACAAAAAGAGAAAAACACAATTGCTGTTAAGTTTTATTTATAAAACTTTCCAGAAATATTAACATGTTTTTAATACTGCTTTGTTGTCAAGCTGCATTTAGCAACTTTAAGTTGGCAATTTAGATTGTCAACTCAAAGTTCAAAAATAAGTATCGAGTCCTTAATGAAATTAAAAAAAAGGGAGGGGGGAGGGGATGACGTTTATCAATTTTTGGAAAATTTTCTTACCCACCCGAAGCTTATTAAGACCTCCCCCCCCCCCTCCTTTATTAATTTTTACTTGTTATTAACAAAAACAAAAATCAGTCTTAAAAATTGGAAAATAATTATTTTAGTCACTAGTAAAAACAAAAACTTTTAGTATAAACAGGCTTTAAAAATCGCAGACCAAATAAATCTCGAAATGTCGAAAACGAGCTTGTATTGTAACATAAAAAATTGCCCCCCCATCCTTTTATTAAACCCCTCCGCTTGTTAGATCTGGCTTAAAATCCCCCCCCCCCTCTTGTCTTATGGACTCCAGACTACACTTAACTTGCTTTTAAAATGTTTTTTTTTTACAGCAGTTTTAGTTTCAAACAATTTTTTTACTAGTTTTCCATTCAAAAATATATATATATATATATATATATATATATATATATAAAATTATCTAAAAGAAAAGCCATCCTCAAACAAACACAGTAGGTTGCTTTGAAAACTTTTTTACTAAAAAAATGAGTAAAAAGGTGAAATTGGTGTATTATAGGTGCTGGGTATTTTTTATGTACAGATTTTTTTTTGTGTAAATGGTGTCTTTTTGACAATATGTGAGACTAAAGTGTTATTTTAGAGGGTAAGTCCAAACTTGCATATGTGCGAAGCAGTTGCAAAAACTGGCAAGGGGTTGCCACCATGATAAATCTCTGGCAATGTATGACATGATTTCTAATACTACTCAGAAGAAAATTATAAGAAAAGTTAACCATCGTTTCTACTTGTTGGAAGCATACGCTGAAAAATTTTCCGCCTTTATAAAATAACGTAGGTCTGGCCACGGACTTTTAAAACAATATATATACATACATACGTTGCAAAAATTTTGTAATTTAACCATGTGTTCTAATGTTTTACAAAGATAAAAATAAATAAAAAACGTGCTAAATATACAAATAATACGTTAAATAATAAATACGTTTATAAACCTTTAAATACGTTACTAATATTTGATAACCACAATCTGAAAATATTTTTATCTTGATTTTTGTCTCTTTCAATTCACAGGTAGTTACCATGTTGCTTTAAATGTTACAGGTAGTTACAATGTTGCTTTAAATGTTACAGGTAGTTACGATGTTGCTTTAATTGTAGACTGTATGGAGCTACAACAAAATCTCAGGTGGTTCTTAAGAAGTTTTCAAAAAATCTAAAATTTTAAATACTTTTTTTCGAAGAGTTTCTTATTTCCTTTTTAATTTTGACTAAATCATTTGCTAGATTTCGATTAAGAACTGCAGACGCAGTTAACAAACCACTGTAAAGAGCTCCCGCAAAACCCGCTGTAGTTATATCTTGACCAGTCAAAAATAAACCAGGAATCTTAGTACAAGGTCGAAGTTTTGCAATTATTTCGGGATCAAACCTATCAAGAGAGTGATCCAAACCGTAAATTTCCCCCTTATTTGACCCGAGATAATACTTATTTGTTACTGGCGTTCCAACTTCAAAATAAACTCTCCTATTACGCAATTGTGGGTAATATAATAGCGTTTGTTCCCAACAACGCTCCGCAATACGCGTTTTAATTTCTTCATACTCCTTGCCTCTTTTTTTTTTCTTTTCATTTTCCCATTGTCCGAACCACTCCCAATTTGCAAGAGTAACTATAGTGCAATTAGACTTTCCCGGGTATCTTTCGTTCCAAGATGGATCTTTTGAAGAGGGAAAAGATATAAATAGCAATGGAATATCTTTTAGACCAGCCTGCTCCTTAGGAAGTGCGAGGTATTCGTCAAGAGATTTATCAAAATCTGTGTTTGTAAACGCCCAAGTATTTGTTGCTTGAAGATTTAACTCCTCATTTGAGCCGTCCAATCCGACAAAGATAGATATAGCACCATGACCACTTTTTACCTTTCGTAAAACGTCAGTAAAACCAATTTTATAATTTTCTGGCAATATTGAAAAAGTGTTAATAAATCCGATTGCCGATACAATAACTGGAGCGTGTATTGGTTCACTTTTCCCGTCAATTTTAACACCTGCATAAAAAAGAAAAAGTATTAATTTTATCGTAATACACTAAATAAGCCCATTAAAATGTATAAATTTGTAAAAATTTATATTTAATACATATAAATATGCAGTTAAAGAAAATTTGGCAATAAAAAAAAATGCTTAATAAAAAAAAGTATTAATGTATTAGACTCATTAAGAGTGCCAAATTAAATTTAAAAAAGATTTTAACTTTGAATGCTGTTATTTTTAAGAAAAAAAAACTCGTTACACTTACTCTCGAGTGCCGAATACAACGGGGGGTGGGAATAAACGGGTGGGTGGGAATTTGAGTCAAAACTCAATAAACGTGGGGGGGGGGGGGGGATGTTCAATGCCTTCCCTCTGTTTATTCGGCATGCAAATTATGCATGTTCAAGTCAAATGCGCATTTGACTTGCGGTCAAAAGCGCATTTTCTAACAGCTGTTAGGGTAGGGTTAGGCTGTTTTATCATAATTTCAATAGGATTTAATATGCTGATATAAGTTTTATACTTTGCAAAGTATAAAACTTATATTCAGCATATTAACTCCTATAATTAAAACCAAAGCTTTGTTGAGAAATAAACTAAAAGTTCATTTTTATCGAGATTTAATAGGTCAACATTTTGTAAAACCTGTTTACACCGAAAGTTTTTGTTTTTATCGGTGACTGAAAATTATTTTCAAATTTTTAAGGCCGATTTTCACTTAATTTTTTTTTCACTTTTGAGATATATATTTTTTTTGTTGATAAAAAGTAAAAATTAATAAACGGGGGGTTCTTAATAAGCTTAGGGTGGGTGGCGAAAATATATAAAAATTAATAAACGGGGAGGGGGGGACATTTATTGGGAACTCGAGAGTACATGAGAAAAAACTAAAGCAAAAGTAAAAGAAGCACTTATATTGAAATTAGATAATATGTCCTCGTACAATATTTGTGAAAACTATCTGCCTAAGTGCTCTTGTCCATACATTACCTACATGCATTTTTGTTAAAAAAAAATTAAACAAGGGAACCTAGATGGTTATACAGTTAAAAAAAGAAGTCCAGTTTAACACACAAGTTGATGGTTAAAAGGCATCTAGAGAAAAAACTAGGTATCTATGCTTAAGACAATTTTTACAAAAGACAAATTTTACAAAAAGAAACACAATAAAATGTCAATAAAAAACGAAGATAAAATCAAGGTGATAATTTAGATTATTGTTTTATTGACCAGCATTCCGGAAACAATAAGTCAACAGACCAAAAACAATCCAATCAACTATGTAAAGTGGTTAAGATTGGTAAGTTGCCACTTTAGAGAAATTCAGTGTGGCGGTTTAAATCATGTCAGATGGCTCACTCTTGATATGAGTGAATATACCATTAAAATACCAAAAGAAGCAAATAACCACATGTGTGATTATATATATATATATATATATATATATATATATATATATATATATATATATATATATATATATATATATATATATATATATATATATATATATATATATTATATATATATACATATATTTATATACATAAATATATATATATATATATATATATATATATATATATATATATATATATATATATATACACACACACATATATATACATATATATTTTATATGTATATATACACACACATATATATACACACACATATCTTTTTGCAATTAATAGATTAACATTTCCCACCTTCAAACCCATTGCATAAACCATTCAATTGAAACACTACAAAAATTAGCTACAGCTGCTCAAACAACATTTCAAAAATCATGAAAAGTCACAACAAAAAAATAAATTTAATTAACACGACCCTTGCAATTGTAAACAAAAAGAAATCTGCCTGCTGAATAAAAATTGTAGAGCGACAAACATTTACAAATGTATAACATCTTCCCCAAAAACGCCCAGCAAAGCATACATTGGTTTATCAGAAGGAGTGTAGATAAAGAGGTATGCAAACCACAATCATTTACAAATAACTTTCAAATGCAACCACTCTCAAAACATATATGGGAAACTAAGGAAAAACTGAAAGAAACACCTGAATTAACTTGGTCTATCCTAAAAAAAGCCCCGTCTACTTCAATACAACAAAAAAATGTTTAATTTGTTTATATGAAAAACTAATCATTTTATTTTATAAAAATGCTAAAGAGTTATTTAATAAAAAAACAGAGTTAATTTCCAAGTGTCGTCACAAAAATAAATTTCTATTAAGCAACCACAAACCTGAAGATTAGATACACGCGGTCGTAACAATAAAAAAAGTTTTTCTGTATAGTTTCAATTGTATATAATTTTTAAACGAAGAAACTATATTTTTATTTCACCTGATGATTGTAACAGCATGAAACTAAATGAAACTATTTTCTACTATCAGCGACGTATCTAGGCCGATTTTGATACCGGTATACTAGTATGGACCCCCAAATTTCTGCCCAAACTCGATTGAAACAATTTTGTCCTAACTCCCTAAAGCTGTTATATTAGCATTTGAGTTGGCACATTAAGTAAGGTTTGAACTATAGTTGGCAAGTTGCCAATATTGAGCACCTTTTTTTTTTTTTTTTAAGCGGATGAAATATGGAATACATTACTATTGGATTAAATTATAAAATGCACGTTTTGATTGGAATAAGAAATTCTTATTTCATATTTTTATAAATCTTTTCATAAAAACATTTACTTGAAAAAAATATACTTAAAATCAGTTATTTCCTGAAATAAGAACAAACGAAAGCAAAATTATTATCTTATGTGAATCAAACGAAAGCGTTATTTCTAATATCAATGAACATTTACTAGATTGACATATATATATATGTGTCACCAATATCAGCAAAAATGTGAAACAATATTTCCATCTGCTATTTATTCTACAAAAGATCAAGGTTTGTTACGTAGAACTTGTAAAGAATATAGGGATATCGGAAAAGTGTGGAGAACTAAAGGCGCGAAGCTTTTTGAACATCCACAAAGGACATTAACTGCACATCAAAATTCAAAGAGACACCAGGATCACTATACAGAATTGCGGGTAAACAGCGCACCCGAAACATCTTAATAAAGTTTTTTAAAACTGTTAACCTTGTAATTAAAAAGAGCTGGGCAGTCCAGGAAAACTTTAATGATATTGTTGAATTTATTCGAGTTCTTGGCGATAAGGAGATATATTCACACTTTAAAATTGCTAGAAATGACCAACATACACATCATCAACTAGTGTTGATCAGTTCGTCAAAATAATAAGTGATAAATTAGACAATGAGGTTTGCACAAAAATTATTTTGGCCCATGACTTTAGTGTTCTTGCTGATGAGACTAGCGACATGACAGATAGGACTGTCTTTTTGTTTTCATTACATATGTTGATTCTGATTCTTATACTTTTGAAGAAGTATTTCTTGGTTTAGTCCAAGTTATTGGAAGAAAGGACGCGCAAACCTTATGTAAACAAATACAACTAGTTTCAAAATCTAAATTGATAGATATCCAGGAACTGCGCTTCCATGGCTTTGATGTAACTAACACAATGAGTGGGGTGCGTAATGGTTTACATGCTAAGCTTAAAAAAATTTCTCCCCACTCAATGTATATTAACTGTCGTTGTCATTGTTTAGCTCTTGTGTGCGTACACTTAATAAAAGAACTTGATGTCCTAGTTAGCGTTGATGGTAATATCTTGGGAGTTTGGAAAGCCATGAAATATTTTAGCATAAAAGCCTCAATATTTGATGAAGCGCAAAATGCTGACGGTTTAAAACCAGCAAAGTTACTCCAACATGTTGGTTATCTCATGGCGTTTCTTCAGTACAACTCGTTTCAAGATTTGAACAAGTTATAAACAGCCTTGATGCAATTGTTGATGTGAAGTACAATGCGGAGCTGGATGGTCTAAAATATCAGTTACTCGTCTTCGAAAATATAGTATTTTTGCTTTTACTGGCTGTTCTTTTAGTACCAATAAATTTGCAAAGTTTTTACAAACGCGAAGCCTAGTTTACTTAAAGATAAACTTAAAATTAGACCTTTTAAAAAATGAGCTTAACAATACAGCCAACAGTAAAAGTGCATTCTTTAGCACTCATTCAAATAAATTTCTCAATATATCTAAAGAGCGTCAAAGACAAGCACGTTGATTAAAAAAAATAATTTGTTTAACACGATGTCAACGCCAGAAATAATTGATGTATTTTTTTAAGAAAATAAAAGTACCAATTATGAAAAAATTAAAAAAGGAAATTGATGCAGCAATGCCAACTAATGACAATGTATTTTTAGCGTTTGATGCATTTAATACAACCAGTAAAAATCAAGATCCCAACAAATTTTAAGCTAACATTAGTAAACTTTCACAACTTTATGGCCATGTAAAACGTGCTGTCATTGACAGAGAAAAAGTTATTGCACCACCATTGTTTAATCCTATTCAAGATAATGAAGACGATATCCATCATTTTCTTTCTGATTATAGAGAAATCTTATTTAACCTTGAAATGAAAAGGAACCTAAAAATTCAAGCTTTAGTAAAACAAGACAGGTTAAAGAGTAGTAACATCAATATATATAACCACAAACACCCGATAACAAGCGATACTATTTACACTGTTTTCCGTACCGAGTATGCATGTGAGCAGTACTATGATATAATAAAGTTATTCAAATTGTCACTACTCATACCACCTAGCACGGCAAACGCTGAAAGAGGGTTTTCTATGCAAAACTTAATACATTCAAAACAAAGAAATCAGCTTAGTATAATAGCACTAGATCGCCTTATGCAAATATCTTTGGTTGGACCAGGAAATTTAACAAACCAAACATATGAAAGGCTGACTGACATTTATCTAAACTCGAATGAGAGATGCATTGACTTATAAAATATCGATCGTTTCTAGTATCCCTTAAATAAATCTTGTTAGTTTATTTATGAGAAATATATTATTATATAAATATATCGCTTATAAATTTGATCTCATTCTTTACATAAGTGGCGAATCGATGTTGATGTTAAATCCGTTAATATAACATTACTAATTATTTTGGTTTCTTACTCCTATTTCTACTATTTATAAAAACTAAAGTTAATTTTAAGATTCTATGCCCTCAAAACACAGACACACCGGTATGCCCAAAAAACTTCTGGATACATCACTGACTATATATATATATATATATATATATATATATATATATATATATATATATATATATATATATATATATATATATATATATACAGTATGTTCCAAAATTGTCACAATGTTTGAACAAAAAAATATTTTATTTTTTTTATTTTCATTTTATTAGAAAAGCTGTGAAGAAAAATGAAATTTTAGTTTTATTAATTAAATTTAAGACTTAGCTAACTAAAAATATTGCTTTTTGTTAAATTTAGAAGATATTGAATTTTTTTTTTAATTTTTATGTGAAAAGCTAATGGTGACAATTTTGTCGCGAATGAAAGCAATTAACATATTTGTCCACAGTTGATTAGGCATATGACATAAATTAATAGCCTTATGACTAAAATGATTGAGTTATCAACTTTTCACAGATTTTGAACAATTAAATATCATTTAAGATTTGATTTTGTTTACAAAACATAAAAAAAAGTATTTCTATTATCATCATGAGGAAAATAAATCTTGAACTAGAAAAAAATATTGTGGAAAGGCTTAAATCCGGACAATCTTATTGTGAAATCGCTGCTGAGTTCAGAAAGTCTCATATATAAAATCAAATTGCGCAATAATTTAGAAGTAAATAAGCCTAAAAGTGGTTGAAGGAAAATTTTTACACCAAGAGACTAAAGAACAATTGCTCGTTTAATTGCTTCTGGAGAGTCTAAAACTGCAAAGGATGTTATTAATTTAATGAATAACAGCTATGGGACTCATGCTTCAGTGCGGACAGTCAATAGAGAGCTCAAAAGAATTGGTTTTCAATTCAGAAGGAAGATCAAGAAGCCATTAGTTTCTTGTCACCGCCAAGCTCGTTTAAATTATGCTAAACTTCATGCACACATGACTTTTGATGACTTTTATGACTGGATTTGGACAGATGAAATTAAAACTAATATGTTTGGATCAGATGGTATAAGATATACTTGGAGAAAGCCTAATTCACCATTAAGTGCTCAAGATTTTACACCAACCGTTAAATATGGCAGAGGAAAACTCTTGTTTTGGGGATGTTTCTGTGCTCATGGAGTCGGTGAATTAGTGAAAATTAATGGAATAATGAACGCTGATGACTATATCAATATCCTTAAGGTCGGATATTTCAAGTAACTTCAAAAATGGGGCAGAACTGTACGTAACACGATTTTCATGCAAGACAACGACCCCAAGCATAAGGCTGATAAAACCATTAAATTCCTTCACGAGAAGAAATTGAAAGTCATTGACTGGCCAGCACAAAGCCCTGATCTAAACCCACTTGAAAATTTATGGGCAATACTTAAACAACGGGTCTACAATTTTCCTACTCCACCTAAGAATAAGGATGAACTTTGGGCTCGTGTACAAGAGGTTTGGTACTTAATTACACCCAAGGAATGTCGCAAATTGGTTGCTAGTGTTCCTGAAAAAATTCAGACTGTAATTAAATCTAAGGGATGATACACTCAACATCAATTTACTATAATATGTTATTTGCTTTCATACGCAACAAAATTGTCACCATTAGCTCTTCACATAAAAATTAAGAAAAAAATTCAATATCCTCTAAATTTAATAAAAAGCAATATTCTCAGTTAGCTAAGTCTTAGATTTAATTAATAAAACTAAAATTTTATTTTTCTTCACAGCTTTTCTAATAAAAAATATATAAAATATTTTTTTGTTCAAACATGGTGACAATATCGGCACATACTCTATATATATATATATATATATATATATATATATATATATATATATATATATATATATATATATATATATATATATATATATATATATATATATATATAAAATCACACATAAACATAAAACTGTATGAACAATTTAATTGACAAAGAATTTTGAATTTCCACCTTGGTGATAACAAGAAAATAATGTTCAGTAGAATAAAATAGTGTGAATAATTATATATTAATAAGTTACTATGATTTTACCACTAAATCTATAAGTAAAAATAATTTGACTTATTTTTACCCTGTAGCAATTGTTGTATATACCCTTACTTTTTGTAAACTTATCTTTGTCTTAAATTTATAAACTAGAGAGTTTAAATTAAAGAGGGGAAAAACCTCATCATTTAAATTTACTAATTATAATTAAGATAAAATAATGACATCAAATTAAGAGAAAAGAAAAAAGTAATACCTGTAACTCTTCCATCTTCAATTACAAAACCTACAACACTAGCCTTAGTAAGTACTTTGCCACCTGTTTTCTCAATAACTGGAATAATGTTAAAAGCAATTTCACTTGCTCCGCCAACAGGGTAATATCCACCATACATGTAGTGTTGCATTAAAATTAATTGCATTATCATTGGGCTTTCACGTGGTTGGGTTCCTTCAGCCAAAAATATATAACATTAATTAATATATGAAAATACCTAAAAATACATTTAAGAAATCAAAATTTGTCATTTTATTTTTTTCAAAATCCTTTCTTTCATTTTTCTTTTTTTAAAAAAAACAAAACAAAACAACTATACCATAATCTCCAAATGAATAAGACAACACTGCTTTCAGTTCAGCATTACTTGTAAGTTCACTTAAAAATACATTTAGTGACTTTGAACAGAAATTAGGAAGATGGGACAATAACTGAAATATGCCAGTCTTAATTAAAATCATGACAATCCAAATAGGTAACATTTTAAGAACAAAGGTTTGTGAAAATATCTGCCTTGCTTTCTACAAAAATTTGAAAACAATATTTAATTTGGCTAAACAAGCTATATTAAAACATTACAAACAATAAAAAAAAAAAAATAGTTCAAATAAAAACAAAATGAAAATGCTATTGAAATACCTTCATTGCATCAAAATACTTATTGATGGCGTCATGTTCATTTGGAAAAGATTGCATTAATTCTTTTTTCCATGCACTGCCTTTGAGAATCCTGTGTGTTGTTCTTTTACCATTTATTTGATTAAACTCTACAAAATCAATAACATCATTAACAGGAGCCCACTTAAGTTGTCCATCTGTGATTTGATCAATATAGACTTTCGTCAAAGTATCTCCTCCAACTTCACCAACATAATGGATACCAACATCAAACTCAAACCCTGAAAAAATAACAGTTTATTTGCAACACTTATTTGAATCAGGCAGTAAATGTTAAATTTTAATTGATAACTTTTTTTTGAATTTTATATATTTTTAAACAAAAAATTTCTTTCTGTTTATTAGCATTTGATTGACATTTGATTAATCAACAATTATTTTTATTTAAAATTGAGTTTAACTTTTTAATTTTCTTCATTGACATTAACAATTATGAAATGTGTTTATTTTTATGGGGTTTGTATTTGAATATTTTTATTAAAGCATAAATTAATCAATATTATATAGACATTCCAATTAAAGATAATCATTGTTCGTGGTATTATATTGAAGATGCTTAGTAAAGTGGCCATGGCTTTCTTGTTTTTAATTTGAAAAACTTGAAAAACTTCTTTATTTTTTTTTGTCATAGTCTCAAGTCGGCACCATGCCACCTTAGATTTTAATTATTATTTTTATACAAACTAAAATTAATGACAAAAAACTTCACTCCAAATTTTAATGTCTGACTCCGTACGATTTCAGAGATATCAATACTCAGCCCCAATCTCTTTTTTAATTGTTTTTTTTCAGCACCATTTATTTTTTAAGCTAATTATATAACACAATTAGCTTTAACTTATGAAATACTTGCTCAATAGTATTGAAAATTTGTATCTAACTACTTTTTAGGGAGAGGAACTCAAAAATGATACATAAAACTCTAAAAAATAAAAGCTTCTCTATGAAAATTCATTTTTAAAATGATGCAACGCTTTTTATAAGCGTTGCACCATTTTGCTCCACAATCCACATAACTTGATGTGATCCATTCAATTCACACAATGGAAAAAGTAGAAAAGGTATTATTACTTAACCAAAAAACTTTTTTAAATTTTATTGTAATTAGATATACTAGATTTTTTTGCAAAATACTCACTGAAGTAGTAATTATCACTTGTGTTTTTAGGAAGATGTTGTAAAGAAATTAATATGCATGGGAAATATTAATATGTTAACTTGCTGGGGAATAAAAATATGTTATTCCTGAAGAAAAGATATTTCCATAATGAAAAATTAAATTGATTTCATTTAAGGATGATGGAACAGAAGAACTGGCTTGCAGCCAAATTTATAAAGATGAGGATAATGAACTTCTTAAATCTCAATTCTTCTTTGATGGCAACAAACATAAATCTCTCAAAACACATGTTGTGAATAGTCACTCAAGAGTTACTCTCTGTAAAAAGAAATCATTACATGTTCAAAATACAGAAAAGTGAGGTATTGCAAGGACTTTAAATAAAGATCCTGATGAGTTAAGCCAAGAAGATTCCTTCAATAAATTATCTAAGGAAGAACTATATAAATTACAAGTTTGTTGTACAAGACAAAATACAAATTTTTCACTGGGACAAAATTCAAGCAACAATGCATTCTTTGTACCAAGTACCCACAGCTATTACAATTTCATTCCAATAAGTAATACAAAAATTGGAACTAAAGTTGTTTTTGAACAAAAAGAGTATTCATTTGTCGGCCTTCCATCACACACCATCTCTAGATGGTGTGTGCTGGGTTTCATTAACAAACTTATTCTTAATGACTAATGTTCCAACAACTGTCAGAGAAAAACTACAAAATTAGCCAAATTGATCATCAAAGCATTAAAGAAAGCTGGGCAAACTTTAAACCAGAGAACCAATTTTTTATGAAACTGTTAAAGACTGTTAATTCTTATTTTAATTTTTTTTTTGTTACAATTTAATTATTTTTATGGTTTATTTTTGTAATTTTGATATTTTTGGGGTTTAGAATTTTAAAACTTTAAATGCAAATAAATGTGATTTAAAAGAGAAAACGCTTGCAGTTTTTTTGTTTTATGGTGTTTGTTACATATAAAACATTAGGAAAAAATTTCAGAATCATATCTTTTAGGCATCTAAAGGTTAATATTTTTTTGTAAGGGGCATCAAAAAACTTATAAAAAGTATTACATTATTTTAAACTAAAATTTTTATATAGAAGCTTTAATTTTTTAGTGTTTTAGTCATCATTTTTGAGTTCCTCTCCCTAAATTATGGTTAGATACAAATTTTCACAATTATTGAACAAGTATTTTATAAGTTAAAGCTAGTTGTATTATGCAATTAGCTTGAAAAATAAATGGTACTGAAAAAAATAGTCAAAAAAGAGATTGGGACTGAGTGTCATTATCCCTGAAACCATAAGGAGTCAGACATTAAAATTTGGAGTGAAGTTTTCTTTCATTAATATAAGCTTGTATTCCGAAAATCATCCAAATCTGAGATGGGATAGTGCTGAAAAATTTTTTTTCAAGTTGATTTGACATTGAATAACCCTTGAAACAAAATTAAAAACTCTTAATTTAAATGTTAAACATAGTTGCTATATATTTATAACAGTAAATTTACCTAAAGGTATACGTACCTTTAAATCAATTTACAGGTTGTGAAATCCTATTTATACAATTTATTTTAAGAAATTTATGATAATAACATTTATGAAATACTGTAAAAGGATAATATATGATAAGCCATATTTGATATATTTTTAGCAATTATTGAAATTTCTTTTTTCTATTAAAACTAAGAATTAAGAAAATAAATATACTAATTAACACTCATTGACGCACACAGATTAATGTAATAACATGTTACATACATTATGTGTGTGTATGTTACATACATTAATATGTATGTTACATATTAATAAATGTACACATAAACATATATATTTATGTAATCTAAGATGCCAAATAAATTTTCTTAATGTTTACTAGTTTTTTTAATCTTTTAAAGTTTGTAAACAATACCCAATATTCAAAGTTTAATAAAAAAGCATCAAAAATATTTTTAAGTTGATTTGTATATTGAATGGAAAAAGATAGCAGTAAAAATAAACTAATGATCCAAAAATATTTTTTTGGAAGGAAGTTAAATTATGTAAAAAATCTGTAAATAACTTGTCAATTTCAGAAAACCTTGCAAAAAAAAAAAATTATTATCCTCAACATTTGGAAAGATAAAAATATATAACTTAAACTTTGTTGAATGTAAGTCAACTTAACTAAGCAACTAAAACCTATAGGTTTTAGACAAATTACCAGATCTTGTTAATCTAGAGATCAAAAGGACCTGTCTCCAATTCTACTAAAATCCTGCCTCAAAATCTTGGCATCACTCTGTATTCTCTTCAATTGATTAATTAAATGCAATCATATGCAAGATCATTATAAATCACTTAACACCTATACCTAAAATAGAGATCCCACATTCTACAGAAGATTATCTTAAGATGTATTACTTAAAAATTAAAGTCCTATAATAGACAATTTTTTTTTCCTGGGCATTACAGTGGATGCTATAATTTAAGTTATAGAAGAGGTTGGCTATGCAATACAGAGAGAAAAAATTTCTATATTTTATTTTTTTTATTCTTCTAAAGCTTTTGATATGATTGATCACAACTGGTAAGTTGGTAACTAAACTGGCTTACATCATGGATTGTTAGCTACCTATACAACTGTAAAAATATTTGAGCATCAAATGGATATGTATAAAAGCTAGAGTCATTCAAGGCAGTGTTCTTCAATATTATTCTTAGTGTTCTTCAATATTATTCTTAGTGTTCTTTGATATTATTCTTAGTGTTCTTTGATATTATTTTTAGTGTTCTTTGATATTATTCTTAGTGTTCTTTGATATTATTCTTAGTGTTCTTTGGTATTATTCTTAATGTTCTTCTATATTATTCTTAGTGTTCTTCGATATCATTTATATTATTCATACATAATATGAATGACTTTTTGTCACCATAGACCTAGAAAAATATGAGGATAATGTAATGGAACTATTAAAGAAACAGGTTCCTATTTCTTTTTTATATTAAAAAAAAACAACCATAAATCATTGGTTTTGTAAGATGCAATTTTTTTTTAAGGTGGCAAGAGTATCAGTGTGACAAATATCTTCCTACAATATGCACTATGACATATATATATATATATATATATATATATATATATATATATATATATATATATATATATATATATATATATATATATATATATATATATATATTTTACATATATTTACATATATTTTGTTCATGATAGACACAATCATGAACAAAAGTGTATATTTGGGTGAACTTATAGGAAAGAGAGATTGATTGAATGAGAGATTGATCCACAGTATATTTACTCCAGTATTACTAGAGTAAAAAAAAGTTTTCTAGCTGTAGCTAAAGCAGTTCAGAAAAAAAACCTTAAATCATAAGCCTGACTTAACTAAATAAATTGAACTCTTTTTATCCTTTTGATTTGAAACTTATTAATCATCTTCTAGGGTTGTCTGTAAGTTTTTTAACATTTTCAGTTTCAATTCACTTCAAAAATTTTACATGATTTGTTTAGTTTTTTTTTTTTGCATTTAATTTTGGTTGATAATAATAGCTTCAATATTTAAAAAAATATATTAATATTTTCAAAAAAAATATATTAATATATTTTATACAATTTGCTTCTTTTCAGACCCAACATGGTACTCTTTTGAACAACTTTTTTTAATTGATAGTTTTAGAGACCTGTCTGATCACTTGAGCTTCCCCTAAAAATATTTTTTCTCAAAAATATTTCAATTCCAGTATTATCATATAGAGGGTGGGAGCAGACATTTATAAAAAGTTGTTTTATGAGACACCATAGTGCACACACAAAAAAAACTTAGTGAAAGTACTACTGAACCATCTAACCAAAATAAAAATAACTAATAACAATAGTCACTCCTATTTTAAAGGCAGCATCTTAAACTAACAACTATTTAACATGCAAAACAAAATATAATCATTAAAATGGTTTTTCTGCGCCTGTTGAAACATATTGCTCTAAGTATAAAAAAGAGATAAATATTTGATGATTGATAATGATATTAACTCTAATTACATTATTCGTTTTTGATAATGAATTTATTATTTAAGTATTTTATTAAGCTTTTTTAGAGAAATTAATGAATTTATTGTTAAAGTATTTTATCAAGCTTTTTTAGAGACATTAGATTCTTTTGTAAAACTTTTGTGAAACCTCAAGAACTTGTATAAATATAATATTTACTTCTTTTTCAACTAATAGACATAATAATAACAATATTAATAATAATAATAATCTCTTTATAATAATACTGGACTTAATAGTAGTAGTAGTAGTGCGCTTTCGAGCCTGTTTGACACGATACTCTTGGCAACCATTGCATCCGAGGTAGTGACGAGAAAGAGTCTTACCTTTGCTTTATAAGAAAATGCGAGCAAACGTGAAACTCGTATTGTACGGACATAAACTTCATGTTATGTAATGTTAAAACATGCTTAAATATATATCAAGTTCAACAGTTTGATTTTCACTTAAGAACTGCATTTCGTCAACCTTTGCTTAATTTCTAATCTTTTGTGTTTTATCCGTTAAAAAACAATTTTTATATAATTTGAAATCTTCAAGACACTACGTGACGGCGTAGTAGAGTGGTTAGCGCGCTGGGCTTTGAAACATAGCTGCCGTGGTTCGAGTCCTACCGTTGGCGACTACTGTTTTAATTTTTTTTTAGACTTTTTTAAATACTAATTCAAATACTTATAAAGTTTTATAGATATTGTATATAGACAACATATGTAAAGATATTAATCAAAAGTTTGATCCTCGCATTTTGACACAGAACCAACTTCGCTAACGAGAGAAAAAAAATTGTTCACAAATTTCAAAATTTTGTTTTTTCGTGAAGTCTTTTAACACTTAGTTTCCAACTTTCTTGACATATTCCAAGTCTTTTTGAGAAAAAACTTTGTTGATCAAATATACAAAAACAGAAATTCAGCTTTTTTGTATATGATAAATATCGCTGTGGTACAAAGTGCCAACCTAGGTTTTTTAAACAAAATGCCAATCGAGTTTTTCTTCCACGCGGCTTTAATCACCACGAGGCTTAGTTAAATGCTTAGTTAAATACTTAAAAAAAGATAAAATTTAAGGCTTAAAAAAAGAATTTTTTACAAATTTTTTCTTACATCTCTTTAATCCTTGACTTTTGGATTTAGATTTATTACATTGATAGTAACATTATCATATTATTATTTTTAGATTATTACATTGTTTGATATTTTTTTAGATTAATAAATTTGAAAATAAATCATGTCAGGTAGCAGTTTTTTTTTTTTTTCTTTAGTTAATTTTTTTTTAAATTGCTTATTGACCTCTTTTTAAATTTTTAGAAGCTTTAGATGATGATTTGATGTTTAGTAAGTCGCTATTATTTTATTTGTTCAGTAATTCAATTTTAGTCCTCTTTATTTGTTCATTAAGTCGCCAATTTTGTTTTTATTTATTTGTTAAGTTTTTTCGTTTATTTGCTTTCCATATACTTTACTCTTTGCTTTTAGTTAAACCACATTTTTTTAAGTTGTCTGTATTTTTTTTTATTTTTAATACTGAACATATTTTATGAAAAGAGGTCGACCAGCTGAAGTTGTAGAATCATGTTTAAAATGTTCTGAACATTGGCAGTATGTGCAAAGGTTTTCATTAACTGAAAATATGAGGGTTCAGATAGGAGAAGAGGAATTTTCTCAATGGCTTCTAAAGCTTGGAAGTGGAACTTTACCTGTCAAGCCTGAAGATCCTTTGCAAGGGTGTATTGAAATACCTGAGCAGTGCTTTGTAAACGATAATGAATCTATTGTGGAAAAGATCTTTGGTGGCACAGAGGAAGCTGATTATGCTAATTGTGCTATTTTAACACCAACAAATGTTGATTCATTGGCAATAAATGAAGAAGTCCTTGATCGTTTACCTGGTGATATAAAAATTTACTAAAGTTCAGATAGCATTGAAACTGATGATCATAATGAAATTTATAATTTTCCAGTCGAGTTTTTAAATAGTTTGACTCCATCAGGTATGCCTGTTCATTGCCTAAAATTAAAAATTGGTGCTGTTGTAATGCTACTTAGAAATTTAGATCTTAAAGGCGGACTTTGTAATGGAACACGTTTGATGGTACGTGCACTGCACAACAATTATATTGATGGACAGGTTCTAACAAGGGTAGCAGCTGGTAACAGGATCTTAGTTCCTCGAGTTCAATTAATGTTGTATTTACAAATGTACTTAATTAATAAATTATTACTTTTTTTTTTACTACTAGAGACAATACATTTTGACAAATAACAACACAGCCAATTTTATTTTTGACTTACTGTTTTTGTTGTTGCTAAGCCAGAAACCAGTCTTTGATACTGGTTAGAAAACCAGTCTTTGATACTGGTTAGAAAACCAGTCTTTGATACTGGTTAAAAAACAGTCTTTGATACTGGTTAAAAAACAGTCTTTGATACTGCAATAAAAACCAGTCTTTGATACTGGGAAAAAACCAGTCTTTGATACTGGTTAAAAAACCAGTCTTTGATACTGGGAAAAAAAAAACAGTCTTTGATACTGGATATTTTTACTGCAAAGCCATTCTTTGTTACTTATAAAAAAACAGTTGACAATTGACAATTACATGAAATGACAGTATTAAAGAGATGTGCTTCATATGTTAATAGAAAAGCACAAATATTTTTTTGACAGACTCCTTAGCTCACCTTCACGTTGGTGTCTGTTGTTAAAAATGATTATTAGATAGTTTCATTGCTGAGACTAATTACTTTTAATCATTCACTAAGAGCTAAGAAAAATTAGTTTAATAAATTTATTTTGCTTATATTTGATTTTAAATTTTAGTTTAATTGTTATAAAAATCAACTTTACTTTTGGGTTCCAAATAAATATACGACCTTCTACGAACCAAATATTATGTCAAAGTAAGTTATATCTTTTTAGCATTTTTTTACCATAATCTGTAATTACCTTAATTACTTTTTTTTTTTGGAATTACATTTCATTCGTTGATTGTTAATAAATATTGTAATAATAACTACGTAGTTGTTTCTTTTAGACTGTCTATTTCGAATCAGTGAAGTGATTTTGCAACGAACCAAGTTGAGAAGTCTTTAACATTAAATCAAATATATTCACAAAAAAAATTTTGTTGTTTATATTTGTTTATAAAAACATTTTTAAAAATTTAAAAACTTTTACATAAAACATTTGAAATTTTTAAGTTAAATAAAGATTTCTTTTTCCTCGATTTTACAATTCTGGCTTAATAGTAATATAGCTATAAAAAGCAACAACGATAACGATAGTTTTTATTTTCTTAACACCATTTCTTAACACCCTCTCCCCTTGATTTTTGCTTGCAAAATTTTGTCACTAATTTGTGCTAAAAACAAGTTTTTGTTACGGAACAAGTAAAGAGTTTTTTTGCTTCGTAAGTTTGATATAGTTTAATAAATGGTTAAAATCCTCTTTTTACTGTAGTTTTTTTCAAAAAGGGTCCTGTAGGAATTTTAGTCCAAATCTAATATATGAAATGGGGTAGGAATGTAAGTTGAATATAAAATTTCAACTAATACTTTTTACAAAGCACCATAACGCAATTTAGTTAAAACGTGACTCAAAGTCAAATCAACATTTTTAAAAATCTGTTTTAATTTAAATATTTGAAATTTAAAATGTTAATATAAATTTTAGTGAGCTAATAGTGAAATGCTAATAAAAATTATAGTGATGCTAAAATAAAATTTAGATTTAGTGAGAAATAAAGCCCATTTTCGACAAATCCAGATTTACTTGGTCGATGACTTTTAAAACTGATTCTACGCTGAAAGTTTCTGTTTTTATCACTTATTGAAATAAAAACAATTTTCTCAGTTTTAATTAAAACATTTTAAAATTTAAGGGAAAATGCCTATTTTCAATTGTTATTTTTAAGGAGACCTGATAAGTAAAGATTAATAAACGAGGGTTGGTGTGGCTTGGTAAGTTTGGAGTGGGTATAAATATTTTCTCAAAAAAAGTGTCTCCCCCTATCCTTTAGGATTTTAGAGTCACCATTAAATTTTGACATAAGTTGCAAGAAGTGTCTCGCAAATGCCATTTATGTTAAAGTTAGTGTTTACGCAATCAATAAGTTTAATCTTCGTATCTAGGACATTAAAATTTTCATTTAGATGTTTTCATTTGATTGAGATTTTCTTGCGTTATAAACCGGATAATAGTTCTTATGAACTGTAAGCACGTGGATAAAGTGTGCATCAATATCCTAAAGACCCGTATTTTACGGGTCATGACAGCTAGTAATAATAATAATAATAATAATAATAATAATAGCAATAATAGCAATAATAATAATAACAATAATAACTACAATAACCTTTTTTAATAAATGTATGACAACAACCTCCTGCTTGATCATGCTGCTCAAGTACCAACACTTTTTTACCAGCTTTAGCAAGTAAGGCTGCACAAGACAAACCTCCAATACCACTTCCTATGATAATAGCATCTAGTTCCGGAGGAATGCTCGAAGAGAAAAATTTCTAGCAAAAAAAATATATATTTATACACAATATATTTATACACAACACACACACAATTTGCACAGATTTACACAGTTTACAAAAATTAGTAAATTATATTTTTCTCCTTTTTTTTATAAACCAGTTTAACAAAACTGCAGGTTTTTTACCACAAACATTTTTTCAGTACATTCACATCTGACTGCATTATTAAACTTATTACGATTGCTTAAATAAACAGTAAAGTTGAAAAAAATTAAACTGTTTTACAGATCAAGATTATTTTTATTGATCAGTAGGAAAATTACCATCCAAGGTTTACAAGCTTATTCTACCCATACAGTTGAAGTTGTAAGGGTTTTATATCTGAGTTTTCCTTCTAGAAGAGAAGTTGCTCCAACTCACCTATGGGTCATTCCATGTCAAATCAACCCAAAATAAAAAATCTTTTTAGCACCATGCCATCTCAGATTTTGATGAATTTTGGAATAAAAACTCATATTAATGAAAGAAAACATCACTCTAAATTTTTATGTCTGACTCTTTACGATTTTAGAGATATTGATACTCAGTCCCAATCATTTTTAATATTTTTTTCAGCGACAATTTCTTTTTAAGCTAATTACATGACACAAATAGCTTTAACTTATGAAATACTTGCTCAATAGTGTAGAAAATTTGTACCTTTTTTTTAAGGAGAGAAACTCAAAAATGATACCTAAAACACTAAAAAATTGAAGCTTTTTTATGAGAATTCAATTTCAAAATGGTGTAACACTTTTAATAAGTTCTTTGATGCCCCATGCAAAAAAGAAGTATATTTTTAGATGTCTAAAAGATATGATTCTGAACAATTTTTTTATGGTTCTATATATAACAAACTCCTTATTACAAAAAAACTGCAGGGTTTTTTTTTTTTGAATCTGATTTATTTGCATTAAAAGTTTTATAAAAATAATAAGAAAAACTGTTATTTAATAATAAAAAAAATTATTTACATTTATTTTTTGCATTCTTTTAAAAAAATTTTAGAATCTCAGGTACAGTTCTAATATATAAACATATTTGCATTTCACATTAAAGATCTTTATTTTATAAAACCTTTATAAAAGTTTAATGAAAGATTTTTTATTAACGACATTTTAGGGAGAGGAACTCAAAAAATGATGGCTAAAACACACAAAAATTAAAGCTTCTATATAAAAATTTTAGCTTAATAATGTAATAATGTAAATACATTTTGTAAGTTTTTTGATGTCCCTTACAAAAAAATATTAATCTTTAGATGCCTAAAAGATATGATTCTGAAATTTTTTCCTAAAGTTTTATATGTAACAAACACCATAAAACAAAAAAACTGCAAGCGTTTTCTTTTTTAAATCACATTTATTTGCATTTAAAGTTTTAAAATTCTAAACCCCAAAAATATCAAAATTACAAAAATAAGCCATGAAAATAATTAAATTGTAATAAAAAAAATTAAAATAAGAATTAACAGTTAAACAAATTAACAATTAAAATAAGAATTAACAGTCTTTAACAGTTTCATAAAAAATTAGTTCTCTGGTTTAAAGTTTACCCAGCTTTCTTTAATGCTTTGGTGATCAATTTCGCTGTTTTGTATTGTTTTTCTGTGACAGTTGTTGGAATATTAATCATTAAGAATAAGTTTGATAATGAAACCCAGCACATACCATCTCTAGAAGGCTGACAATATGACCTTGAAGGGAAAAATAGATGCATGAATCTAACTTGAAAGACTTTATTTTTAACACCAATATCCTCCTCTAGTCTAATCCAAGGGTTATTATTATAAATCAAACATGCAAATACTTCAATGCTTATATTAGGCAAGCAATCTTTAGTATTCTCATCAGTTTAAAAATTAAAAACAAATGAATACTCTTTTTGTTCAAAAACAAATATAGTTCCAATTATTCTGTTACTTATTGGAATGAAAATGTGACAGCTGCGGGAAGGCTACCTATTGAAGTTACTCTTTTGACAGTCCCACCAATACCATCACAAGGTGATTTACCATGATATGTTGCAAAGAAAAACCATGTACATTTAATAGCAAAATCTTGCTCATAGTGGCATATATTTATGAAGTGTTTACAGTTTTGTACTGGCCAGCACACCTATCTGAAAAGTAATGGACAGTTTCTATTTGATGAGAAATATTGCTTTTAATTTGTTCAGTTGTTAACTTCATCGCATGATATATTATATCTACATCATGCAGTAAATCATCTGAGATAAAATATATTGAATCACATTTTAGGTCATTATTTACTTTATTATAAACTAAAGTAGAATGCAATGCTGGTTGAATTTTGTTCCAGTGAAAAATTTGTACTTCGTCTTGTACAACAAACTTATAATTTTCTGAAAAATCACAATGACCTCAGTACTACTTAACTCTTTTTTTAATTTCTATAAAAAATCAGCAATGTATAAATATTTTTGCAATGTAAAAATGAACAGTAAGTTTTTGTAACTTATTTGTTAAAGTATTAATAAGGCTACTTGATTTCAGTTAGACTTACTAGCTCAGTAAGTTGGTCTCTTGTCTTCTATTGTTTGTAATCTATACAAGAACCATCATCTTCATTAGTATCTTCTTAAGAGTAAAACTCATTTTCAAGATAATATCTTAATATAGAATCTTCTGGACACAAAGGGCAATAATGTATCATGCAATTTTTTGCCCTACTATAAACAAGCATAACAATAAGTTCATGATAATTCTTTGATGAATCAACTGCACTAATCATTAACTTAACATTTTGATGGTAGGTATGCATACAATAAGTGTGTGATCACACACATACTGTATGTGTACCTCACAATGTACCATTTTGAACAATTTGAGCAAAAGTGAGAAAAAAAATTTATATCAGGATAACTGGTTTTAAACTTAGCATACAGTAGATACGCATACATACAAATGAGATATTTCCTTTCCTTTTTTTTTTGGAAGAAAGATACCATTATTTAGCAGTAGTTTGCGTGATATCTGCACCATATAATTAGTAACATTAAATTCTTTTTCTATACATTTATTAGACCAATGTATTGGAACTAGTAGTAATTAAATTTTCTGATTCCATTTGAAATTTTACATTCTTTCGCTAATTGTTCCTATAAGTATATCCATATCATTTTCTATACATTTAACTTCCTTAGATAATTTATTAAAGGAATCTCCTTGGCTCAACTGATCAGAATCTTTATTTAAAGTCCTTGCAATACCTAACTTTACTGTTTTTTGAACATGTAATGATTTCTTTTTACCGAGAGCAACTCGAGAGTGATTATTTACAGCATTCATCTTTTTTGATGGGGACAAGTACTTATGATTGTCCCCATCAAAAAAGAATTGAGATTTAAGAAGTTCATTATCTTCATCATCATAAATCTGGCTGCAAGTCGGTTCTCCTGGTCCATCATCCTTAAACGACATCAATTTAATTATACATTATGGACATATATTTTCTTTATAATACAATTAAACATCTTTTTTTATCATTTATATTTTTATATTATTTTTTGTTCTGTAAGAAATATTTTTAAATTAATTATTTGAAGATTCACAAACAGAAAAACCTTCTTTATACATGAAGGTTTTTTAAAGTGAAGATCTTAGATGTGAAATGCTAATATGCTTATATATTAGAACTGTACTTGAGATTCTAAAATCATTTTAAAAAAATGCAAAAAATAAATGTATATAATTCTTTTTCATTATTAAACAGTTTTTCTTATTTATTTTTTTTTTCATAAAAATTTTAATGAAAATAAATCAGATTCAAAAAAGAAAACCCCTGAGGTTTTTTTGTAATAAGGAGCTTGTTATATATAGAACCACAGGAAAAATTTTCAGAATTATATCTTTTAGGCATCTCAAGATATACTTCTTTTTTTGGGGCATCAAAAAACTTATTAAAAGTGTTACACCATTTTGAAATTGAATTCTCATAAAAAGGCTTTAATTTTTTAGTGTTTTAGGTATCATTTTTGAGTTCCTCTTCTTTAAAAATAGGTACAAATTTTCTACACTATTGAGCAAGTATTTCATAAGTTGAAGCTAATTGGAGTGCTTGAAATAATTATTTAAAGGTCGCTTATCAACACTGATCAGCTGAAATGATCAGCTGAAATTAAAATAATTATTTAAAGGTCGCTTATCAACACTGATCAGCTGAAATGATCAGCTGAAATTAAAAAGTAGACGATCAAATAATATTTGGCAAGATCAAATTTTTGGTTAGTTTGCATCAAATTTTTATAAGTGTAGCAATTTTTGTGTCACACTTTTTATGTTTGTGCTTGATAGCACATACATAAAAATTGCTTATACCACAGAATTCCCACTTAGTTTAAAATTCTAAAACAATAAAAAAATCAAAACAAAAAACTTATACTGGGCCTTGTTTCAAAGTATTGCGTTATAAATACAAACTAGCCTTTTAAATAAATTTTTTAAAGTGTTTTGTTATAAAAGCACTTTAACAAGTCTTAAAAAAAAAATTATGATAAGTTGTCCGGCTTATCCTAACTTATCATTAAAATTAACAAATAAGAAATTAATTTAGCTGATCAAGCCAACTTTTGATTCGTCATTTGGTTATGCTAAGTCATTCATTCAAAACATTAAAAAAAAACTTTATTTTCTTATCACCTTAAAACATTTTTTTAGCGCATTGTCATTAACTTAAAGATTTTTGTTATAAATATCTTGTCCATTTATGAATATTTTTTTATATTTACATTACAAAATATATTATATTTACAATATAAATATTTGTAAATATAATATATTTGTTATATTTACAATATAAATATTTTTATTATATTTATAATATAAAATATATTTTTTACATTCATTTAGTTAAAACTATAGTTTATATATAACTAAATGACTGTTTGCAACATTGTAAACAATTGTTTAGTAAAAACATTATTTAAAATTGACAAAAGCCCAAATTAGATCAAGCTCATTCATTCAAAATTTAATT